TGATTGCATTCAATCCCAGGATCACAATGATGCGTGCGGCGCAATGGAAAATGGATAGCCGGGCCTTGATCATTGCTACATTTGGATTTCGAGCACGTAAATTGGCTTGCTCCAACTAGTTTGAAGAAAACCAGGAACAACATGCAAAAGGAAGAGATGAACAATTTCTGCATTTCTGAGCTAGTAATAATAATATTTCTGTTTTGTCTAATTAAGCAGATATATATGTAGAAATTGCACGGTATCCTCCATTAACAATATACAACACAAGTCAGTTTTTGCCATTGACTGACTGTGTCAAACATCTTTGCTAACTGCATGTGACTTCCCGGAAGGTGCTTCCTTTTATTATACAAATTAAAAGTAAAAGGGCTGCGGGTAAGCTGTCTCCTTATCTAATTTTTAAACACGTGTCTTTACACTTAACAAATCATTAACACTGTTAATTCATATTAAAACATAATTAAAAATACAATAAAAACTCTCATCACACAGTCGTTCTTTTTACCCCTCCTCAACATCTCATCACACAACCTTGAAAGACGACTTCACACAGTCGTTCATTTTACCCCTCCAATTACGAACTTGCACTCCATTTCTCTAAAGACTTGAAAGTAAACACAATAATATGACTTTTCTCCTAAAAATTTCATCCCTTATCACAATTGCAAACTTGCACTCATATTCCCCTAAAAACTTGAAAGGAAACACAATAATGACTTTCCTCCTAAAAATTTCATCTTTTATTCTGATTACGAACTTCGCACTCTTATTCCCTAAAAATTATAATAATTGTAACCGTTGAATTAAATTTTAACTATCTGGATCATTTAATTTTTAGGCTGAATTTTTTTAGATCCAAAGAGGATCTGTACTTGGAAGTGTTTTACTTTGTATTGAAGGATCAATAATGTTTGTATTATTGTGTGTAAATCCTTATTCACATAACTTTGTATTATTAACTATCAGTTATATGTACGTCATTCTTACTTATTACATAGTTAGTCTTGGCATTGACCGACTGTCCGACATCATGGCCCTGTAAATGCACGTCAATCTGAATTGTTACATAAGTCAGTCCTGCCATTGACCGATTGCCCGGCATCTTGGGCCTGACTTTAACTGAGCATGACTTTTCCTCTTGGATATCTTTCAATATTGCAGCTTCACGGAGGGTCACAACCAAATATTAGATTACTAATTCACATCAATTGGAAGGCCTACCACTTTGAAAGTTGACTTCTTTCTTGGTCATGGTCATGTAGAATTTTCATCCCTAGTTTCAATTACGAACTTGCACTTTCATTTCTCTACAGACTTGAAAGTAAACACAAGAATATGAGTTTTCTCCTAAAAGTTTAATCTCTTGTTCCAATTGCAAACTTGCACTCTCATTTCTCTAAAGACTTGAAAGTAAACACAAGAATACGAGTTTTCTCCTAAAAGTTTAATCTCTTGTTCCAATTGCGAACTTGCACTCTCATTCTCCTAAAGACTTGAAAGTAAACACAATAATACTACTTAGTTGTGTTATCTACACAAGAGGTCGCACTTGGTGCGATGGCAAGTGCCTTCGCCCATGAGCGGTAGGTCTCGGGTTTGAAACTTGGGAGCAGCCTCTCCATAAATGGGGGTCAGGCTAGCCGACATTCACCTCTCCCAGACCCTGCGTAAAGCGGAAGCCTTGTGCACTAGGTACGACCTTTTTTAGTTGTGTTATCTACACACCCTCTTTTACCTTTTACACATCTCTTGTTAATTTCTGTCATTTAATATTCTTTAATCCATTCAATCAGAAGATTAAAAATTGAATAAAGTGTGTAAATAACACCACTCTTCTCTTAATCAAGTATTTCAATGAGTCCCACTTAATGATGTTTCTTTGCTTTTTCGTAAATCATTGTAACTTTTCTTTTGGCTTGTAATGAATGTCTCCTTCCAAGGTCGTTCACCGCCCTTCTCCTAATTATGTAAATTAGTCCATTTAATGACCTTTTCTTGCTTTTTCCTAAATCGTTATAACTTCTTCTTCTTCTTTTTTTTCTTTTTTTTTCTAAAAGCAACTCCACCTTTGCTTATTGTCTTGGGGATGAGCAACCCAATTTAATTGTAGCAACGGTTCTTCCAACATGAATCTTTTTAACATAATTTTGATAGAGTTGACATAAAGAATCATAGTTGCATATTTTGGTAAGTTCAGAGGCCAATGATAATGAATTTTTTTTTATTGATCATTGCTCTAATTGAATTAAAATTAAAGAATTATTGATACAATTTTCTCTTAAAAAAACAAGTAAAAATATGCAAGAGGAAGGAAGAGAGGAGCAATTTTCTATATTTTTGAATTAATTTTAATTCACATGAAATCCGGAACAGGATGATGTGTTTTTCTTTGTAATGAAGGGAAAGGGATCCTCTCCATATCCCTTCCTCGTAATCTACCAAATCAGGAAATTTGTATTGTTAAAATTTGATTCAACGGTTAAAAACAGATATCTACTTTAAAAATTATAATAACTTCAATTATTGGATCAAATTTCAACGGTATGAATGTTCTAATTTGATGGATTAGAAGAAAAGAGAATTTCTTTCCGTAACGAAGGATTATCGTGTGTAAGTCTTTATTCACATATCTCAATTAACTCAATTAACTACGATTGTGACGGGCACCTGTTACATGTACATCAATCTCAATTATTACATTAGTCAGTCCTGCCATTGACCGACTGTTTGGCATCATGGGCTTCTTACGTGTACGTCAATCTCAACTATTACATAAGTCAATCATATCAGGTATCGTTTGATATATAGACGGGACGGGACAAGACGAGACGGAACAAAGGGAGCAAAGATGCCTTCGGATGGAAAAAAGGAGGAAGAAGAAGGAGACGGAGATGTTATAATTTTGTGTTCCACGGATGTGGAACGAGTCGTTCCAGGAAGGTGAGGTGGAACAAAAATTTATCCAAAACTCGTCCCGTGAAACAGCGCATTCCACCTGTTTCCGTGGAACAACGCATTCCACCCGTTTTAGGCGCACCAAATGTGGGACGGAACACCTCATCTCATTTCGTTCCGTCCTGTCCCACGTACCAATACCTCATTGAACGACTGTCCGGCATCATGGGCCTGGCTTTAACTTAGCATGACTTTTCCTCTTGGATATTTTTCAATACTTTTGCTGCACGGAGGGTGCTCTAGCCACTAGAAGGTTAGACTTCTTTCTTGGTCATGTAGAACTTTAATTTCTAATTCCAATTTGAATTTCCACTCTCATTTCTCTAAAGACTTGAAAGTAAACGCAAGAATATAACTTTTCTTCTAAAAATTTCATCCCTTTATCCAATTGCAAACTAGCAATCTCATTCCCTAGACTTGAAAGTAAACACAATAATATTATTTAGTTGTGTTATTTACACACTTTCTTTTACCTCAAACGCATCCTTTATTAATTTTTGTTTTTTTTATTGTTTTAAGTTCATTATATCGGCGATTGAAAATTGAATAAAGTATGTAGATAGCACCACTCTTCTCTTAATCAAGTATTTTAATGAGTCCCACTTCATGAGGTTTTCTTGCTTTTTCGTAAGTAGTTGTAACTTTTTTATAGGCTTGTAATGAATGTTTCAAGGTCGTTTACCATGAGAAATTTTTCATTGTGATTGAAACAGGAATGATACACCATATATTTTTATATAAGTAATGAGAAATTTTATTTTTTAAGATATTAACTTTTTAACATACATATCCCACTATTTGCATAATGACACATGATGTTTCATTCCGTGTTCCAATCACACTGAAAAATTTCTCGTTCACCATCCCTTTTCTAATCATGTCAATGAGTCCCATTTAATGACCTTTTCTTGTTTTTTCCTAAATCATTATAACTTTTTTCTTTGCTTCTAATGAATGTCACTCTCCAAAGTTGGTTTTTTGTGTTCACGTGATGCATCAACCAGCATCCACATCCTCTTAAATAAATAGTTAATTTGTTTAACGAAAAATGATTTGATATCTTATTATTGTCTTTTGGTACTCCATTAATTTATACAATTTTAGTCCTAATTCCATTAATTTATTATTGTCTTTTGATACTCCATTATATGGACAAGACTGATGAAGAAGAAGAACACCATATTCCTTTTCTAACTGTGTACCCAATGGAACTGACAAAGCATCATACATTCTTGTGCAAGACTGAATAATCAGAGATATCATCCAAATTATAAGAAAGAGAAAGAGAAAGAGAAAGAGCATAAGCTGTGCTGCCAGGGTCACCAAGGCAGGGGACTTGAATCCCAAGGTATCTTCCAACAGGTGGGCAGCTGAATAAGGTAACGTTATGGATCTCGAAAATTGACAAGTAGAAGGGAGAGAGTGGCATGTTTGGGAGTTTTACAGGCCTTATTAGCATCAAGCAGTCATATGTGTATGTGCTATACACTTGGATTTCTTGACGCTTGTAATCTATGCGTTTGACAAAGAATTTTACTAGGATTATCCGCTGCTCATCTGTCTGATTGCATTCAAGCCCAGGATCACAATGATGCTTGAGGTGCAATGAAAAATGGATAGCTGGACCTTGATCATTGCTACATTTGGATTCGGAGCACGTAAATTAGCTTGCTTCAACTAGTTTGAAGAAAACCAATAACAATATGCAAAAGGATGCGATGAGCAATTTTTGCATTTCTAAGCTAGTAATAGTAATAATAATGTGCATGGAATCTAATTAAGGGCGCACACATATATATATACATACGTAATAATTATAGAGTATTCTCCATTAACAATATGCAAAAGGAAGAGAGGAGCAATTCCTTCATCATATCATTACACAAGTCGGTCTTTGCCATTGACCGACTTTCCTCTATGATATTTCCTATGCTAATCAATAATTTGAAGTGCTTACTGCATGCAACTTCACGGAAGGTGCTTCCTTTTTTATTACACAAATTAAAAATAAAAGATTATCTGTCTTAAATTGTCTTCTCAACTGCCAAGTACTGGATTGTTTTCGTGGATGTGACCTTCTCCAACCTACTCTTCTCAATTACTAAAATGCTACAAATGCACTACCAAAATACTAAATAAAGGACTTTGAAATTCCATAAAATTCTATGGAATTTATAACTCTTTTAAAATCCTTCAAAATCTTAATTAAACACACCTCTCTAGGTTTTGTCATCCAAAAACCGTCCCTGCCCTCAGAGGGTACTTTTATTGATACCCAATTTTATGTTAAGTTCACCAACTAAGAAATTTTTGTCATAGCTTCCCAATGATCCTCCACTAATAACATCAGAATTTTCAAGCTTCCCCCACCCCCAACTCCGCTGCCACCTCCTCTCTTCTCACGCTGCCTCCCTCCTCCCTCCCTCTCATTTCATTGCACAAGTCAATCTTTGCTATTGACTGACTGTGTCAAACAAACATCATTGACTGACTTTCCTCTAAGATATTTTCTAATTAATAATTGGAACTTCACGGAAGGTGCTTGCTTTAACCCCACTCCTATATTATAATATGGGTATGTATACAACTGTCTAAACTACTACTTTTTGTCTACTAGTGAACAACTCTCTCTCTCTCTCTCTCTCTCTCTTGTACCCATGGAAAAAAGTGGAAGCAGATCCTTCACCTTGTCTTGGTGGCCTTTCGTTCTAGCCTTTCTTGTTCTTTGCTTTTGCAGTGAAACTTGTAACGCTAAGGATGATAGTAAGTCTTCATGTACCTCCTCCTGCGGCCTTATCCATAACATAACTTATCCTTTTCGACTAAACGATGATCCGAAGAGATGTGGCGATAGAAGGTATACTCTTTCCTGTGAGAACAACAATATTACAGTACTAGATCTACATTATCATGGTGAATACTATGGTAAATACCACGTACAGGCAATCAATTACGAGAACCAAACAATCCGACTTCGAGATCCTGGCCTTGACAACAACAATTGCTCTTCCCTGCCTCGAAATTTTCCGCCTGTCAATTTTGCTGGAGTTACATATTCTTCAGTTATGTATATGATTGGTCCATATGTTTCACTGTTTTCAACGTCAGTATATTACCTGAGGTGTAGAAACCAAGTAAATTCTTCTCTGTACGTGGATACTGCTCCATGCTTGAATAATAGTGCCACTTCTTTGATCCAACCAAAATCTTATAGTTATGTCATGGTTGACCGCCCATATAGCCCAAGCTATATGGAAGATTTGAATGAGGGTTGCAGAGTCGAGGGGATGGCTCTCGTGCGGTTGGACTACTCTAGCGGGTCCTACACTAATGACTCTTATAGTTATGAATTTATACACAGTGCAGTCATGAATGGCTTTGAGGTTCGAGTGTATTGGCCTGATGAACTAGATTCACCCTGCAATGGCCTCACTTCCACTGGCAATTGTTATCCACGCACCATCCCAGGTGCGTAATTCTCAAATGAAGTACTAACTTATAATTACTATGTTCTCGAATAAGCTTATTTGATGGATCGTTTGTAGAGTTTATTTTACATTGTATTTCAATAATTCATCTGTCTATCTTTTAGTTCTTTCTTTAAAAGCCAGTCATACTAATGTTTTTTTTAGAAAAATCATAATCTTCTATTTTCTTTACTACAATTTAATGTGTTTATGGTTTTGGATTTTTCTAATTTTTTTTATCTATGAATGATGTACTAAAATATAAATAGTTTAGATCGTTGTAACAAATACTAGTGTTTTTTTGAAAAATCGTATTCTTCTATTTTCTTTACTACAATTGACTGTGTTTATGGATTTGGATTTTTCTAATTTTTTTTATCTATGAATGATGTACTAAAATATAAACAGTATAGATCCTTGTAACAACATGAGCAGCACCAGTTGTTCCTCAACGGAAGAGGAATATATATATATATATATATATATATATATATATATATATTTCTGTGCGAAACCTCCCGCTAAGCCATTCATTTTGCTTGAAAAATATACTGAAAATATAACTTTAGTCCATAAAATTTAATTTTCTCCACATAAAACCCAATATAAGTTTTTTACTCGAATAAAACTCATTGACTAGATTCCAGCAAATTCATTAATTATATCTGACTTTACACATTTAAAAAATTTTGATGCCCAAAACACCCCTATTTGAATGTTTGATTTACACAATTAATTCCATACAAATTGTAAGGGATAATTAATGATTTTACAAAAATAAAAATAAATAAATTCATTGCCTAATATATAATACCAATAAAACATGCCTAATAAATGTAGTAATACATGCTCAGTTAAGTCAATAAAATTATATTTTATATATAAATGTAGGTAAATTATTTTACACACACATATATATAACAACAAAAAAAAAAATATGCCTGATATACATAAAAATTCAAGCAAAATAATTTACCTACATAATAAAGCATACCCAATATATGCAAAATAATGTACCTACATAACAAAATATTATTATTTTATTCAATACTAGTTTACCTATTATTTGTGCATATAATAATAAAATGTGCCTACATACAAAATAAAATACCTACATAATGAAGAAATGTTATTTGATTCAAAATTAATTTAGTTACAAAATAAAGCAATTGTATTCTATTCAAGATTAATTTACCTATTATTCGTACATATATCTTATAATAATAAAATGTGCCAAATATATGTAATAATACATGGAAAATAAATTACCTACAAAGTAAAAGAATGTTATTTGATTCAATATTAATTTACCTACAAAATGTATGTTATTTGCTCATCATAAATTTAAATATAGGTAGATTAATTAGTTTAATATGTTTGATCATATATGTAGCACTGTGCATGTATATATATATGTGAACGTATAGTAGTACTATATATAGGTAAACTATATATGTGTGTACACACACACAGAGATATATATATATATATATATATATATATATATTGAGCTTATGGTGGTAATATATACATTTGAACATATATATGTGTGTTTTAGGGGTAATAATATGTGCAATAATTATATTTTCATTGTAATTAAGGTGAGTAATAACATTTAATGATTTTATTTTAAATATTGTGGTACAAGTTGTAAATATTTGGTAATAATAGGTCAATTACTTCTATACTTGACAGTTATTTTTAAATTTGGATTTTATTTAGTTATTTATAACTAGGTGGGTTTTTGTCTAGGAAATAAGAGTTGCAAGGATCTATATCTAAAGAACCCAAAAATATATCAACAATATTCACATCATGTCAACAGTATATAGATACATATAAACATTATTATGGATATCATATCGTAACAATAATATCTTAATAATACAATATTTATGAGGTTATCTGAACTTTATAAAGAGATAAACATTTCATCCTATTAAGACTCTTTATATTGTGGTTGTTGTCTATATTTCTATTACAGCTAAACACTTATAATTGTTTTTCTTATAATTATTTTTCTTAGGGTAAATTATACTTTGCCATCTTTTGAGATCGATTTCAATTCCTTACAACATCTTTAAAACATTTCACTTTCATATCTCAAATACTATTTTTTTTCAATATAGTACATCTATTACATTTTTCATTCATTTATCCGTTAAGAATTGACGTGACTGCTACAGTTATGTCACGTGGCTGCCAAATTTGTGATAACAAATTTATATTTTTATTCATTTAAAAATAATTAATTAAAAAAGATATCAATTAAAAAAAAAAAAAAAACAACCCAGAAGCCATCTTCTTCCCCGCCCCCCTTCCCTGCAACCCAAACCCCCCATCACCCCACCCCACCCAAAACCCCCAAAATCAAAAGGGGGAATTGAATTCTCAAGACGAAAAAAAAAAAGCACTTCACACAGATCCAATCAGAGCAAAACCCAGATTTGATCACACACAGAAACCCTCAAATTAAAACCCAGATGCAAAATCCCCAAATTTAACTGAAAATCGCAGCTTAGACGGAGCTAGAAGATTACCTTACCATCGACGATGAGGCAGCAGTCCATGCGATCATTGTGAGTGGAGACCTCAGTCAAAGCAAAGGGAATTCTAGAGAGAGAAAGAAGAGAGAGAGAGAGAAGAGAAATGGACTGAGAGAGGGAGAAGAGAAGTGGACTGAGAAGGAGAAAGCAGCTACAAGACCCGATCCGTCTTCTTCTTCTTGTCTCCGTGGGGGCACCTCTGTGTGTCTTCTGCAACTCTCGTTTCCTGGGTTTTTTAGGGTTTTCGGTTGGGGGGGTTGCGGGGGAGGTGGGGTGGGGTGGAATGGGGGGTTTGGGTTGCAGGGAGGGGGTCGGGGAAGAAGATGGGTTCTTGTTTTTTTGTTTTTTTTTATTTATTTATTTTTTATTTAAATTAATAATTTTTAAATTATTTATTTTTAAATGAATAAAAAAAATTTGCCACGTGGCATAAATATGGCAACCATATCAGCTTTTAACGGATCAATAGATGAAAAATATAACGGATGTACTATATTGAAATAAAATAGTACTTGATGTATAAAAGTGAAATATTTTAAAGATATTGTAAGGAATTGAAATCGATACCAAACTTAAGATGGTAAAGTGTAATTTACCATTTTTCTTATATAATGGCCATTTCCGAATACTATATCCCAATTTTGCGGTCAATTATATGACAAATGAATTATGTTGCTTTATTTCTTATATATGCTAATGCTGTACAGGTACAAATGGCAACAACTTGAATTTTATTTGCCAACGGTTGTTATGCTAATGTTGTTTTATTCTTTTACTGTAGGTTTCTTTCAACATGCATGGGCTAAAATCCGTGAGTGGCCCCTCTCCATCCGTAAGTGGTCCCTCTCCAAAACAAAAATAAAGAAAATAAATCTCTCCTTTTTGTTTCTCTTTAAAATTCAATATTTACAACTTTAGAGTAGACCTAGCATTTTAGACCCGACTCGTTAACGTGATCCGACCCAACCCGTTAATATTAGTATTTGGGTGGATGCTTAACTGGTCGGGTCGCTAACGGGTGAACCCCGTTAACAACCCGTTAAATAACGGGTCACTTTGGGTCAACCCGTTAGATCTGTTAGCAACCGTTAGTTGATGATGTTTTAGTAATTTTAGTAAAGTCTTAATAACAAAAAATAAACTCTATGTAAAATAATAATAATAATAATAATTGTTAACGGATGAAACGGGTGATCTGTTAGCTTAACGGGTTGGGTTCGGGTGACCTGTTAACTTAACGGGTCGGGTTCAACCCGACCCAAACCCAATAAACCTGACCCGTTTATAGGTCTACTTTAGAGTATACACAAGCCTCTAACTTCTGTAGTTAGATTTCAACGTGTATCCTCTTCCAACAAATTAGAAGTAAGAGTAAATTATGTCACATAACAAACTTGTACCTCATTTTTTTAATATTGCAAAATCATATATTAACTTATAAATTCGTTGCAATATTAGACTTCCGTATTTTTATCATTTATTTGTCTATTAAATGATGACCTTATTGCTAGCCACTCCCTCGCCCAATTGAATTGAGAAATGGAGTTTTAATGAAATACTCTCGGTAATGTTCACTTTTAACGAAAAACCACATGTTTACCTTTTCTGGTACTATTCACTTACACATTTATTTGTTCTTTTTCATTAAAACTAAAGTTTTTTTTTTTACTTTTCGTTAGTTTTCCTATTGAGGAGACATTAAATAGTAATAAATTAAGGTTTTTGAGTAGTCTCGCACACTAGCTTGCAGTAGTGTGCGAAGGTTTTTGAAATTCTTAATTTATTAATATTTAATTTTTCAATTCAGTTGGGCGAGAGAGTGGGTCTCGCGTCTATTATGTGAGCAGTTAACAAACAAATTGATGAATAAGGAGACGGAGGTTTGACGTTGTAATAGATACGGAAGTTAATGTATGAAATTGCAATGTTAAAAAAAAATGGAGTAAAAGTTTGTTGTGTGGCCCAAGATTGAGGTTGTGGATAATTACCCTATAAGTAAACATGGCAGTAAACTAAATCATCTTTGAAATTTGGCATTCACTTGTTGGTTACATACCAAAAGCGTAATTGTAGGACTCGCTGAATAGATATGTTTCAAAACTTGATGATTTAACACTAATGAGACTCGTTGTGGTATTGCTAATGTTGTGTATTTTTTTCACTACTGTAGATTATTTTCTGAGTGCAACCGTGGATCTTGGTAAGGACTGTCTCTTCAAATGCTAACTTCTGTCTATGTAGTATAGTGTTTTGTCGTTGCTGAATTTTGTTTGGTATTTATTGCAGGGCACTTTCCTCGATGGCTTCCATTCCATTCCATCCATTCCATCGGTAAGACAGAGCTTGTATTTCTTGCATATATGTAGTCAAGTCTTCGATTTTTATTCACATTTCAAACTTATAGCCGTTGATATAATTGGCTTTTACTCTTTGTTATTTTGTTGCAGCGGTTGGATGGGAAATACTGATGGGCATCGGTAAGAAAAGCTTGAATTATTAGTTGTATATGTGTGTGTAGATTCCAACTTGACATGAGTGAAACAAAGTAAAATGTAATTTAGAAACAAAAGAAGTTGAAGAAAGTTGAAGGTAGTGTGGATCTAACATATAAGTTTCTTTTCTTATGATTCTTTTGGTGATATATTTTTCTGCAGGCTTATTTTTTCCAGCAAGACTACTGTTTGGCATTCCAATTGCGGCTGTATTTTTAGTCTATAAATGGCGAAGAAGACATTTGTCAATGTATAGCACAATAGAAGACTTTCTACAGCGCGAAAAGAATTTCATGCCTATAAGGTACTCTTACTCGGACGTCAAGAAGATGACTCGCAAGTTTAAGGATAAGTTGGGCGAAGGGGGCTTTGGCTCAGTATTTAAAGGAAAGTTACGCAGCGGCCGTTTTGTAGCAATTAAAGTTCTGGGCAAGTCCAAAGCTAATGGCCAAGATTTCATTAGTGAAATAGCTACCATTGGAAGGATTCGCCATGTTAATGTGGTGCGACTAGTTGGTTATTGTGTCGAGGAATCAAAGCGCGCTCTAGTATATGAATTCATGGCTAATGGCTCACTTGATAAATACATTTATTCCAAAGAAGGAAGTATCCCATTAACTATCAACAAAATGTATGAGATTTCTCTTGGAGTGGCTCAAGGGATTGAGTATCTACATCAAGGTTGCGCAATGCAAATTCTCCATTTCGATATCAAGCCTCATAATATTCTTCTTGATGAGAACTTCAAAGCAAAGGTTTCTGACTTTGGGCTAGCAAAGTTGTATCCTGTAGATAATAGCATTGTCACGCTGACGGCAGCAAGGGGGACAATGGGATATATTGCTCCTGAATTGTTCTACAAAAATATTGGAGGCGTCTCACACAAGGCCGATGTCTATAGTTTCGGAATGTTGTTGATGGAAATGGCAAGCAGAAGGAAGAATTTGAAAACAACGGTAGAGCATTCAAGCCAAATCTACTTCCCACTGTGGGTATACGATCAGTATAATGTGGGAAATGACTTGGAGATGGACAATGTAACAGAGGAGGAAAAGAATGTAATCAGAAAGATGGTTATAACTGCCTTGTGGTGCATTCAAATGAAACCAACTGATCGCCCTTCGATGCACAAAGTCATCGAGCTGCTTGGAGGAGATGTTGAACGTCTGCAAATGCCCCCCAGGCCTTCTCTGTGCCCACAAGAGACTCCTGTGGCTGTGGGTGACATTCAAGACCCAATATGTTCTAACGTAGAGCTAACATGTTCTTTGTCAGCTAGGTGATGATCAAGTTCTTAGTTATAAAAGTGAAATAATGTATTATAAACTTTAAAAAGAGGTTTAATTAATGAACTATTATTCAAGGTTTCCTCTATGGTAGACTGACTAGCTTATCAAGCATTCAAAGGTTGTCTTATTTTTGTTCTTCTCATCTGCCCATTTGCACGGATTGCCATGGCCTACCTTTCACGAGCTTAATGAGCTTCTTCTTCATCAGTCTTGTCCATCTAATTTTTGGCTTCGCCCCCAATGGATAAGACACTGATGAAGAAGAATGAACTAATTATGGAGTCACATTTTGGACAAAAATTGGTGCTTGTCATAAGGATCACCTATCCATGCGGTATACACACACACACATCCCCCTTATCCTTTTTTAAACTGTAATAAAAGTGTCATGTCTCACAAGTCATACATAAGAATCTCTATCAATTAGAAAGTGAGACTTCTGTCTTAATTGCGTGAAAAATTTCATTATTCCAACTGTGAACCTGCAACTTTTGTTCCTCCAAAAGACTTAAAATGTCATATAATTTTTTATTATTCTAAAGTCTTGCGTCAATGAATTCCCCACCATTTAAAAATGATACTCATTGTGTTATATTAATTGCATTGAACAACATTATTGATCATACAATGCCAATACAATCAATCGTCCCCATCTCTAAATGAAAATTAGTCAAATTGCACAAATCATTCATGCGGTGCGGGTCATATGTCTGTGTAACCAATGCACACGAGTAACATTGACATATAACCCACTTCGCGCACTAATGATTTGTGCAATTTAGCCTCCATCAACGTTTGCAACCACACAAACAACCATCGTTGTTGAGCTGATCTGGAATCACTTACAAGTGGGGTGTTGTTTGTTTCCTTTCTCGTCACTTTTAGTAACTTGAAGCTAAAAACAAGGCTCATGACATGAGTATGCATTTGTGAGATTTGGAATGGAAATATCTTATAAATTACTATCATTGGTTACAAGTTTGTAACCATAGTTTTATCAGTTAATACACCAAACCTGTAGAATGCTAGAAAACTTTCTTTTATTATTGCTATATGTAGATTTGCACACAGACGAGTCAAAGTTTTTATTAATCTCTCTCCGAAGCAGCAAGCCCCTCGTCCGTCCCCTGAAACCGGTGTGCTGTCTATTTGAGTTGATCTAAACATCAGAAGCGGCTTCTCCTGCGTTTTCAAGTGTATTAAATTTAGATGTTAGATCAGGCCAACAGAAAAAAACAAAGCAAGCGCTACACCATGTGAGACATATCGTCTCATAATAGCAAGCGTATTGTACAGATCATAGCAGCATGCATGAATCTAAGAATATACATTCGATACTCTACATTATTTCATTAATTGGATTTCAGCTTCTCGTATGAGCTCAAGTTTTAGAGAGAAGGCTTGAATTTAGAGCTTATCGGAGATGCCTGATTTCGGCTTATGCAGGGGTCTTATTCAAAGGGTGCAACCAAGCAACACAACATAATATGAGAAATAAAAACTTCTGAGCGTACAAGAGGACGTCCCAAAGAGTGCATTGTATTACTCATATTTCTTGCTATAAAATGAAACATATGTGAGTTTGTGCATATGTGTGCTCATGCTTGAGTGTGTAGCAATGTACGAGAAGAGAACCATGTTGTCTTACAACTCTTACCATGCATTCTCTTGACAAATCGTTCGAACTCCGTTAGGTTATGCCTCTCAATGAGAACTGGGCTTAATCTGAGATAGGTAAATGCTGATAAATGTCTGCCATCTGGATCGTTCCAGGGCTTAGCATTTTCTAATATCTTGTTGTAGCCTTCTCTGTCAAAGCAAGTAAGAGCATTCTCACTAGCAACTGGAATGTTAGCATCCCATGCAGCATTCAGCACCTGAAAAAAAATGAAATCCAAAAAAATTATCAAAAAGAAAACAAAAAGGCTACACAGATAATATTTCGGTACATAATCCAAAGGAAACCGACATTTCACATGTAACAACCGACCCGCCCCTCTTGATCCAGTGTTGCTTGCCCATGTTAGTTACAAAATTTTTGAAGTATATGTTTGACAGATGGAAACTCCGCCTATGTGAGTTTATCTTACATTGCCGGTCCCAAGCCCGGATAAAGGAGGAGGGGGAGGGCGTCAGGTAGTCGACAGCTGGCACTCCATGATCACGTCGAATCCTTATGAAAATGAATCCAGAACAAAATCGCGCTAAAGCTAGGGCGTCACCCGTAAGTGGCGCGTTGTGTGGCCCGAGCACAGTGATAAGTGAGCAAGGGTCGCTGTATCTCCATCGGCACCCGGATGCAGTGTTAAATGAGCAAGGGGGCCGTAGAAACTTCTTTTCGAACGACTCCACTCAAAGTTGTTTGGGAGCATATGCTCCTATCAACTTTACACGGGACATACAAAAGAAGTATTTTGATCCTATTAGACGGGGGAGGGTGAAGAAGCTAGGACAGAAGGGTAGAGTTCAAGAGAGCAAAATACGTTTAGGAACGTGGAATATAGGAACCTTAACGGGAAAATCTATGGAAGTAGTGGAAGTTATGGTGAGGAGAAGGATAAATATTATGTGCCTACAAGAAACTAAGTGGGTTGGTAGTAAGGCAAAGGATTTAGAAAACTCAGGGTTTAAACTTTGGTATTCGGGCACAATAGAACGAGAAACGGTGTTGGCATCATTGTGGACAAGACCTTGACACAAGATGTTGTAGATGTCAAGAGGGTAGGAGATAGAATCATGGCAATCAAGATTGTAATAGGACAAGAACTTATCAATGTGATTAGTGCGTACGCACCTCAAGTAGGGTTGAATACGAGTTCGAAGGAGAAATTTTGGGAAGACCTTGGACACTTGATGCAAGGAATTGCTCAGACGGAGAAGTTATTTATAGGAGGAGATTTAAATAGACACGTGGGCAGGGAGACAGGCAACTATGAAGGTTTTCATGGTGGCCATGGTTTTGGGGAGAGAAACGAGGATGGGGAAGCTATCTTGGATTTTGCAATGGCATATGATCTCTTCTTAGCCAACACCTTCTTTAAGAAGAGAGAAGAACATGTGATCACCTACAAGAGTGGGTCGTCAAAAACACAAATAGATTTTCTTCTAATGAGGAAAGGGGATCGTATAACTTGTAAGGATTGCAAAGTTATACCAGGAGAGAGCGTGGCTAATCAACATCGCTTGTTGGTGATGGATGTACATATCAAAAGAGTGAGACAAAAGAACAAGACTTGGAAGTGCCCAAGGACTAGATGGTGGAATCTAAAAGAAGAAAAACAAGTCATTTTCAAAGAGAAGGTAATCACCCAATGTGTGTGGGATAGAGAGGGGGAGGCTAGCCAAATGTGGGATTCCATGGCTAGTTGTATCCGAAAAGTAGCAAAAGAGGTATTAGGAGAGTCCAAGGGCTTTGCCCCACACCAAAAGGAATCTTGGTGGTGGAATGAGGAGGTACAAACAAAGGTGAAGGCTAAGAAGGAATGTTGTAAAGCCTTATACAAGGAGAGGACCGATGAAAATGGTGAAAGGTATAGAAAAGCGAAGCAAGAGGCGAAGAAAGCTGTCAGAGAAGTTAAGTTAGCGGCTTACGACGATATGTATAAACGACTAGATACTAAAGAAGGAGAGTTGGATATCTATAAACTAGCTAGAGCAAGGGAAAAGAAGACAAGGGACCTCAACCAAGTGAGGTGCATCAAGGATGAGGATGGAAAGGTTCTTGCTACAGAGAACGCGGTTAAAGACAGATGGAGAGGTTATTTTCATAATCTTTTTAATGAAGGACATGAAAGGAGTGCTTCTTTAGGGGAGTTGAGTAACTCAGAAGAGTGTAGAAACTACTCTTTTTATCGTCGAATCCGGAAGGAAGAAGTGGTTGTAGCTTTGAAGAAGATGAAGCATAGAAAAGCAATAGGCCCAGACGATATACCAATCGAAGTGTGGAAAGTTTTGGGAGAGACAGGTATAACATGGCTCACTGACCTTTTCAATAGGATTTTGAAAACGAAGAAGATGCCAAATGAGTGGAGAACGAGCACTTTGGTGCCTAGAAGGCCTACTGACGGAAAGATGAGAGAAAATCGGTTACGATGGTTTGGACATGTGCAAAGAAGGCCTACTGACGCTCCGATTAGAAGATGCGACTATGGGACAGAGGTTCAGGGCCGAAGGGGTAGAGGAAGACCTAGGAAAACTTTGGAAGAGACTCTAAGAAAAGACTTAGAGTACTTGGATCTAACGAAGGACATGACACAGGACCGAGCACAATGGCGTTCTAAGATTCATATAGCCGATCCCACTCAGTGACTTGGATTTTCCAAGTCTCCAACCGAGAAGTTTTCCTCACTCGGGAAATTAAGGAAACACTACCCCAACCTACATGCTCCACTCAGAAAGCTTCAACATACAAGCTTCAACAAAAGAAAATCCAAAGAACTTAGCGAAGAAGGCTTTGGTGTATTTAACACAATACGTTGAAATGAAGGAAAACTTATTTATTGATATCCTTGATAAGCTACAAATATGTACATATACATGAGTCAAAATAAACAAACAAGAGGGAGCCTTCACAAGGGTTGCTTAGGAGAAGTCTCAGCAGTCGGTAGAGCCCCAGAAAGAGAAGGCACCGGAGAGGGATCATTCGGAACCTCAGTACTGGACAGAACCCTTGAAGGAGGAGGCATCAGAGGTTGATCATTTGGAGCTTCATTACGCGGTACAGCCCCAGAAGACGAAGGCAATAAATGCCTTTGGAACAAACCCACAAATCTCTGATGATCAAGTAAAACCTGACCATCAGTTTCCTTCATCTGGTCAAGCTTCCTCTTCATGTTTGTAGCATAGTCATGTGCGAGCCGGTGCAACTGTTTATTCTCATGCTTGAGCCCTCTAATCTCCTGTTTGAGACTCATCACCTCAGCCGCCAATGATTCAACTTTGCGGGTTCGAACAAATAGGCGTTGGGCCATATTAGACACATAACCTGCACACTAAACACTGAGAGCCAGCGAATCCTTAACAGCTAACTCATCAGACCGTTTGGAAAGTAGTCTGTTATCTTTGGGAGTGAGAAGGTTCCTGGCCACCACCGCAGCAGTCATATCATTCTTCATCACGGAATCCCCAACGGTAAGAGGACCAGTAGGGGAGACGAAGGATGGGCGCCATATATTGTCTGGAGAAGGCGGGGCTGCCTCTTCAACAAGGTTCAAGTCAAAACGACGGTCGGAGGGGCCAGACATTTTCAAAGGTGTTGAAGAGAGAAGAGGTTGGACAAATCAAGATCTTAGAAGTGCAAGAATGGAGCTTCTACTGGTGGAGATTCAAGTGTGCTTTGGAACTTAATGTCAGCCCCTATAAAAATCTGCACTCGACGGAGCTTCAGAAATCGAAGAGGCGCCTGCTCAGAAATCGAAGAGGCGTTTGCTTTCTCAAAAGTTGGGTTGCTTAAAGACCACGAGGGTTGATCTCAGAAATCGAAGAGGCGTTTGCTTTCTCAAAAGTTAGGCTGCTTAAAGACCACGAAGGCCGATCTCAGAAATCGAAGAGGCGCTCGCTTTCTCAAAAGCTGGGCTCCTCAGAGACCACGAGGGCCGATCTCAGAAATCGAAGAGGCACCTACTTTTCCAGTCTTGTCAGCACCTGTCACACGCACACTCAGCTTTGCGGAAATTATGGGCATTCTGTCGAAGACTTCTGGGGAAGTAGAAAACACATGAATCTTACTGTTCAATCACCCACTTCCCACACACAACAATAGCTCATGGGTACCACAGATAACTTTGCCAAAGTTCTCTGCCAAAATTGAGCACGTAAAGCTTGCAGCTCCCACTACATCGCTCTGACTAAGAAAGGTAAAAGAATAGCAAAGAAACAGCACTAACAAAGTTTAGACCCATAAATTTTGAAGGTCTAGCTACCATATTATTACCCACAAGGGTAAAGGAACAGTACCATTGCTGGATAATTGGAAAGTCCCTGTGTGTCAACCTCTGTGCTTCGTGGCAAGGTAGACTAGCAAACATGCCCAACCTTTACTCACATTCGAGAAAACACTCCCAATAAGATTGCTTGCTCCAAAATCGAAGAGGCACCGTCCTTCGAATCTCGAGAGCCAGACTCCCAACATGACTACTTTCTCAAAAATCGAAGAGAGGGTAAAGGAACAGTACCATTGCTGGATAATTGGAAAATCCCTGTGTGTCAACCTCTGTGCTTCGTGGCAAGGTAGACTAGCAAACATGCCCAACCTTTACTCACATTCGAGAAAACACTCCCAACAAGATTGCTTGCTCCAAAATCGAAGAGGCACCGCCCTCCGAATCTCGAGAGCCAGACTCCCAACATGATTACTTTCTCAAAAATCGAAGAGACACTGCTCCCCGAATCTTGAGAGTCAGACCCCCAGCATGATTGCTTTCTTAAAAATCGAAGATGCATCGTTCTCCGAATCAATCGAAGAGACGCTCGCTTTCTCAAAAGCTAGGCTGCTCATAGACCACGAGGGCCGATCTCAGAAATCGAAGAGGCACCTACTTTTCTAGCCTTGTCAGCACCTATCACACGCACACTCAGCTTTGCGGAAATTATGGGCATTCTGTCGAAGACCTCTCGAGAGCCAGATACCACAGACCACTTTTTCAAAGTGCTCTGACAGAGTTAAAACATGTGAAGCTGGCAGCTCCCACTACTGTGCTATGACCAAGCAGGGTAAAGGAATAGCATTACTACTTGTTGTTAGGGAGACTCCTATATATGTCGACCTCCATCCCCAACGGACAGGCAGACCTGCAAAAATGCTCAACCCTTCCTCATATCTGAGAGGGCACTCCCAACGAAGCCTTTCGAAATATTCAGCTTTCTTTCCCCCCGATAATACCTCTGCAAACAAGCTATACTAGAGCAAGAATATCTCATATCATCAGGGTTAAAAGCAAGAGTATCCCATATCATGCTTTTTCCCTGTCTTTTTCTTTGACCTTGTTTTTACCTGCAAGACAAGGAGAAAGAGAGCAATCAGTCAGCACTTGGAATCAAGCTTCCAGCCAGGAACTGACTGCCTGGAACCCCTTACCTGATTACTTACCTGGCATTGCTCTCGAGTACTCATCTTCAACATCTTATGTTTCCAGGGAAGATACCGCATCTGCTTGAGGAACAGATAGGGCAAGTGCGAAGGGTACAAGGAAGCATGTGGAGACAAGCGTAACAGCACACGTGCCGATACATCCATTACTCTGTCAAAAGCAAAAGTATCCCATATCAGCATGGTCGAACGTACTCTAGATTTGATGGACTTGTTTTGACCCTCAAATTCTTCAGTCGGCTCTGGAGGAAACCAGAAAACCCTCCAGCTCAGTTCAAGAATAAGCATGTGGAAAGTTACTTCTTCAAAAGCAAAAGTATCCCATATCATCTCTTCTCATTTTTCTTCTCTTTATCCTCCATGCTGCTGCAAGATGGGGAGAAGGTGAACAATCAGCCGGAGCTCTGATTGCTTACCTTGTCTGTCACCTCTTTCAACAGATCCCCTAGCTCGGCGACTTGGGGGACTCCTACTACATGGTTTGTATCGCGCTTGACCAAGCCTGAAACTACAAGTAAGCTTCAAGTGAAATTGATACATTACCTTGCGCATCTCCACCAGTTAAAGATACCACCCCTGGATGGAGGAAGAGTACTTCCAGAGAAGATGCCACATCTACCTATGAGACAGATAAGGCAAGTCAAGACGATACCACACTCCAATAATTAGAAGTTTCGTGATTACGAAATCATTCTCTCACAATATTTCCTAATGTCATTTGTACTAAATCATTCACTTGTACTAAATCATTCACTTGTACTCACTAAAGGAGAGCTTGAACCTATGTACTTGTGTAAACCCTTCACAATTAATGAGATCTCTTCTATTCAGTGGACGTAGCCAATCTGGGTGAACCACGTACATCTTGTGTTTGCTTTCCTATCTCTATTCATTTATATACTTATCCACACTAATGACCGGAGCAATCTAGCGAAGATCACAAAAAGCGACCGTTTTCGCTACCTAGGATCTATCTTGCAAGAGAACGGAGAATTAGATGGAGATCTCAACCATATAATACGAGCTGGATGGATGAAGTGTAAGAGTGCATCCGGCGTGTTGTGTGACCGTCGTAGGCCACTGAAGCTCAAGGGAAAATTTTATAGGACGGCAATAAGGCCAGCGATGTTGTATGGCACAGAATGTTGGACGGTGAAGCATCAACACGTACACAAAATGGGTGTAGCGGAAATGAGGATGCTTCGTGGGATGTGTGGGCACACGAGAAAGGATAAGATTGGGCATGAGGATATCCGAGGTAAAGTAGGAGTAGCCGAAATTGAAGGAAAGATGAGAGAAAATCGGTTCCGGTGATTTGGACATGTGCAAAGAAGGCCGACTGACGCTCCGGTTCGAAGATGTGACTACGGGACAGAGGTTCAGGGCTGAAGGGGTAGAGGAAGACCTAGGAAAACTTTGGAAGAAACTCTAAGAAAAGACTTAGAGTACTTGGATCTAACGGAGGACATGACACAAAACCGAGCGCAATGGCGTTCTAGGATTCATATAGCCGACCCCACTTGGTGGGAAAAGGCTTTGTTGTTGTTGTTGTTGTATATGTTTGACAGATGGAGAAAATTGAATTTGAGCAGATCCATTATTCAAAAAATAGCAACTGACTCGGACACTTAATGTGGCCACCTTCCCCAGAATAAAAGAAGTATGCATATTCAGCTCAAAATTCTAATTGATGCTTTTTAAGTTTCTGCTCATCCAGCCATCCCGGATGCTCACTTTTCCAAATCGTGATGATTTATATTTATTGCTTAATTTACATATGCTTAAAATCCAGGAAGTAATTACACATGAGTTTCTGTGCTTACCTGCCAAACTAATCCCTCAGGGTCTGCCAGTGCTTCCGGAAAGCCCTCATGTTGGTCTAATGTGCGCATTTCAACACATGTGAAATTCAGAGCAGCCTCATGCTTTTTTAACATTGCTGATATTGGCGCATACCCATCACGATTGCAGGAGTTGTAAAATCCAGCAGTTAATTCAGCAGGATGGCTGGCAGTCTTGTACCACCAGTGGATACCTGATACCTGCTCATAAATCAAATAAAGAAACTCCATAAAACAAAAACAAAAACAAAAAAAACTGTGCGGAACTAATGTCCAATAAAGTGACTCACCTTTGTAGCAATGCGTGTGCCTTCAAAAGCTAAATTGGCCAGAGCAAGTACACGGTCACCATGATCAATCAAAACACGGGAGTACCAATTAAGAAAGAATCTGCCATAGTAGCTATCATAATCACCTCCGTCACGGAAAAACCCTGTCTCATGTGGTTGGGAATTATAAGAACCTGCATTATCTGGTACTCTGGCCCAGAAGGTGTGGCCCCTTGCTTCTGCAGCCTGCGTCAGATTCTTCATCAAGTATCGGTCATAACACTGCACCGAACCAGGTTGAATCAGAGAAATATTTCAAAGTTCAGATAGAAGTAAAAAATCAAATGAGCTACTGGCTTAAGGTCATAATCACAGATGAATGAAGGGCTACTTAACATTTAGAAATAACTGTCAACTCCTAGCTATCATGCATGCCACTAATGAAAGGAATGATCACCATTTATTAAGGTACCTGGAATTCACCAATACCAGGATATTTCCAACCATGCTGTTCAGGATAAGAAGGATACCGTAGCTCTCCACACGGACCTAATCCAACTTCAATTTCTGATATTATTCCTTCCTCAAAAAACTCATCAAATTCAACTCTGAAGCTCCTCATGTAGTCGAAGTAAACCTGCGTTGGTTCCATTATAAAATAACAGAAAAGAAACTCTAAACATCAAACAGTAAGAATACATAGGGTCTGATTCTTATGGCATACAAAAGGAAAGTTCTTAGAAATAAAGAACATATAAAAGTTGGAATAGGTTTAGCAATAGTTTCTTTTAAAAGATGAGAGGAACATGTAAAAGAAGTCAAATATAGAAAAGGAGCTATGGCAATCCATAGCAATTAAAAGACCAGTATAACCAAGTAATTCTTGAATACCATACCTCAACGGCAGTGCGGCCTCTTAAAACCCGCTCTTTATCAATTCCCCATGTGAGACATTCAGTGTTGCGTTTCCCTTCTTTATTAGTAAAATATATATCAGGATTCTTTTGGCCAATTTCTGTCACCCAGTGAGGAAGTGGGATATGTACATCATCCCCGACATTGCCTCCACACTCGTGGAATGACATCACGACCTACAGCAATATAGAGTAAGACAATGCACACCATATCCAAAATGCATATTCAAAGGAAAAATGTAAAGCTGAAAATCTTTCTCTTATTTAAAATGAGTTTTAACTGTTAGTCTCGCAAACTAATTTACAAAAAGAAAAGCTAGCAGTGCATTACTTTTCAGCAATCTACTCAAGATTATTATCCCCCTTACCTAGGACAATAGCCAGTCAGCCACTTAGTACTACGGTCTAGTGGTATTCCTCTTCACTTGTAAGTGAGAGGTCTTAGGTTCGATTCTAGGCGAGTTTGAACAATATTATTGCTAACCCATTGTGAGGCTAAGCTCACCCCCTCCCCCTTAGTGTAGATTATTTCGTTTGTTCCAAAAAAAATAAAAAATAAAAAGACAAAAGCCAATCATTAACTGAAGACAACCAATTAAGAAAGGAAAGCTTGGTACAAATCACCCCAAATGATTATCCGTCCAAATCAAAGCCTTCTCAACTGTTTCAGAACATTTATTTTGACTGAAAAAATTTGACTCTAAAAACGAAAATATACGTCACGTATCAACAAAGGTCAAATAAGTTTCCGAGACCAATTCAAAAAGTTTCCAAGACGATTTTTTTGGCCATGTTAAGCAGTATATGTTTACAACCTTAAGGATCAACAGCATGATGAAATTTGATTCCCAAGTTTAACTTCACAAAAGGGTTTAATCTATTTAAGTAACAGATTTATGTCCTACAGCAACAAAAGTGCATCATGTCAGAGACAAAAGTGATACTTCCAGAATCATTCATTGTACGAGGACACTTAACATTATCAGTTCTAAAAGAAAGAAAAAACCCAAATTGTCAGATTAGTGCAGGTTAACATCTGTAAAAACTGAAAATCTGAAATTCGGCACTGTAATTGACATGACTACTGAAAGGAAACAAGAAACAGACGATGAAGAGAAAAATTGTAATACACAAACAAAGAGAAAAAAGAAAATGCTAGTAATAGTATATACCACTCACCTGTAACTTAAGGTTAAGATCGCGCACAATTTGGAATAGTTTCTTGTAGCCACCCCAATTATATCCCTGCGGACTGTGTGCCTCTACGATTCCCCACCAGCAATCAACCATAACACCATCAACACCAACCGACTTCAACACTTGTAGCTGATTTCACAGAGCTTCTGGCTCAACTAGCTCGGAGTTCATATTGATCACACCCAACTGACAGTTTCCCCCACCACGAAACACAAGAACAACTACAATTAGCCATGACTTGTACAAAAAGATAGCATCAACATGAACAAGATTAAAAACAAAAAATCGAACAGAAATTTTTGTGCACGAGTCTCACTATGATTTGAACGGTCAAACCCAACAAAAATGTGTTTACTTGCTAAATTGTAAATCAGGATCACACATTCAAACATGATTTCACTTAATCAACAGTCTCGATTAACAATCTAACAATTTGACAAGAGAATGATTAAAAACCAAGTACAAATATACAAGTAACGCGTATGCCGCTAGACACTCTTTTATAATACAAGACGATTAATTAGGATCATATTTTGGCATAAGATTTCACTTTGATCAATGTTAATGATTGAAAGTTTACAACTTGACAATGAACAATAACAAATTTCAAAGGCCAACATAAGAGTAGAAAAGAGTGCCTCAGAAACTCACGGGTAGCATTACATATACAGGAACATACGGCGTGCCGGTAAAATCACGCTCCTCAAACTTTTCCAGCGAAGAGTTTTCAACCTATCATCAAACCAGAAAAAGGTTCCAAATTTCAAATTATTACAGCACAAACACAATTCCTCCAAACAAAGCACCCCAAAATTAAATTCTGAAAAACAAAACTGACTTCAAAACGGAGGAGTTGCCGTTACATCCTCACCTTGTTGTGATCAACATTTTCACCCACCACAGTCCCCTCAGCACTGTCTCTCACCACGGCGAAACTCCGAGACGGATCACTCCCCAATAGTCTCAAAGGACACAAATTGAGCTCCGGCGAGCCCCAAAGACCCTGAGAGAGCTTCAGCGAAGCTATCGCGGTCTTCCCGCTGGACGACAAGGAAGCCATTGTCGTCGCTTTGCAACAAGCACCCGGTGGGCGTGGTAGCCTCAGCGTATGGGATACTTGAGGAGATGAGAAATGTGCCATTCTGAATCTTTCGGAATCGGCAGCCACTGATGTTTTACTCTGCAGGGAACTTTGTAGGGGAAGTGGAGTGGCGGTGTAAGGCGATTTTCCTTTTCATTTTCCAGAAAGTTTTCTCGGGAACCAAACAGGTGGAGTGGCGGGGAGAGAAACCGTGATGATGTTTACAGATCCAAGATAGAGTTATTTCAGCTCAAAGAGACGAAAATGGTCTTTTTCGCGGGTATGAGCGGTGACGGATGGACTGTCACAGACCATCACCCACCGCACACGTAATTGATTGGGCAGGCAATTCTTTTCTTTTCTTTTTTTATAAAAAAAAAAATATTGAATCACTGAAAAGTGCAACCACGATCACAACCAATTTCAATACAATTGAATAAGAAAGCTTTTCTTGCCACGGAAGGTAAAGTTATCCCATACATGAAAATTATTAAAATTTAAAGTCAAAGATAGTGACTGCATCCGTCAAGAAATTTGTCTCCTTATAAAAGTGCTTCCAAGAAATGGAGTCGAATTAAGTTCCCAACCATTTGATGTCTTCTACAAAGTTCCTCGGTTGCCAAGGAGTTTAGCAAAAGCTTGTAATAGCACCAATGACTAGTTTAGAGTCGCCTTCCACACAAACGTTCTTAAAACCCTTTCCTTTTAGCCAACCAAAGAGCACCCCTCGATGCTAAAGCCACAGCTGTAGAACTGTTATTTCTGATATCAAATCCAATTGACGCCTTGGAGCTAATAACCGAACCATCAAAATTGATCTTCAGCTGCAATCCACGTGGAGGTTCCCATCTAAAATTTTAATTTCTTTAGCAGCTAGACTTGGGGTGATTTCGGACGGATCAAATTGAAGCAAGAATTTCGATTTCCAATCCAAAATGTCTTGGTGTCAAACAATCTTTCTAGTTTGGGAATACTTGGAATATTCCAAGTTTCGAAAAATTGTCGATTTCAATGTTATCTTAGTTGATAGGATGTTGTTTGATTTAATAACAAATTGATATTTCATGCTGATTTTTTTTTAATTGGAATTGTAAGCACACACTTTTATGACTAACGATTTTGAACGATAAAATTTAGGCTTCATAAAATTCAAATGTATAATTCTAGGCCCAATAGGAGATCACAAAAGGTTGCTTTATAGTTCATTGCCAGTAACCCAATCAAATGGGTTTGGAATTTGATGATCTAAAATGAAACCAAAATTTGTCGAGTCAACTAAATGGGCCTTCCTACAATCTTTTTTTTGTAGTTAGTATCACCCTATATAATCAAAACTAAAATTAAAAAAATAAAATATTAAAAAGAGCTATAGAAGCTTGGGATGTGATATCCACACACCCCTTTTACTTCTCTCACACATTTTTAATTTTCGGCCGTCAGATCGGATGAATTGAAGAAGATCAAAGAACAGAAATTAACAAGGGGTGTGGGAGAAGTAAAAAGAGATGTGTGGATAGCATCCCCTTAGAAGCTTTGAAGTGTGGGCCATTGCGCAAGGCAATTATTAAGTTCCATTGCATGTGGTGTTGTAGAGATTTTTCATCTGCAGGAAACATGGTTCATACATCAAATGTAATAATACAATTAATTTGAGACTTGAAAAAAAATCAATTATATTATAATACTTAATGTACCGAACTATGTTTCCGATAAACTGGAATATTTCTCATAATGTTGATGTAAAAACTTGACGTCACGGGGAAGTTTCAAATCAGAATAACGATATGCGCATTGAAGCCATAAGAGCAACTTCACCTCGTAAGGCAATAATTGCCCAATTAATTGGGCAATAGGAAATTAGTGCCTTTATGAATGGTAATTGCATGAGTGCATCTCTACCCTGTAAGAGCAAGTCCACTCCATCCCAATTTCTTAGACAATAGACAATTATTACCTTTGTGAATAGTAATTTCCTGAGTGCACTTCCATCCTATAAGATCAAGTCCACTACATCCCAATTTCTTGGGCAATTGGGCAATTTGAATCCCCAAAATTAGAAAAGCTCTCTCCACCCCAGCCAAATTAGTCAGGTTTCAAAATTTGGCCTTGAGTTTTCACTTTTTGGTATGAAAACTGAAAGTAGTTACCAAGTAAGATTTTAATTTTCAAAAAAGTGAAAATAAAAACTAAAAACAAAATGGTTATCAAATGACCTCAAGTTAGATAAAACAGTATGCTCTCTCATCTGCACTCAAGTACGAATATCTCTTCTTGTTATTTAGATTAATTTAATGTAGAAAATCCGATTGTTTTAAAAAAATTACACTATGTTTTGGTCAAGATAATTTATAGTTTCATGAAACATAAGCTAGAATAGTTAGAACTGCACTACAACCACTAGATAAAAGAACTTTAAAATGTCAAGATGCAAGCGAACTTTCAAATGATTCTTAGAAAAATATCATTTTGAAAGTCCTTTATTTAGTGATTTTAGAGTGCATTTGTAGCGTTTCAGTAGTTGTTTTGTATTACTTGAATAGTTCATTAGTCGTGTTCTTGTTTGTTGAGTTTATATATCTTCTTGCTTGAAATATTTATTAGATACCTTAATTAACAACCACAATAGTACAAAACCCATTAATCTCCCACATTGCATATAGCACCATAACGAACATGAGTTCTTTTTTTGTACAATGTGTCATTATTAAGTACAAAGGGGCGCAATTTACGTTAAGTCACACAATTATATAACATTAAAAAGATATCGAGCTAACCATCAATGTGAGATGAACTTGAGACGTTCTACTTATAATAATTCAGAACCGAACCATATCACTCACAGTTCATTATATATATGCAAGAACATTTTCAATTTCCATATACTCCATATTTCAGTGACTTACGTGTAGGGGTGGAGAAATTTTTAGTTGTGACGGGAATACAAGTGGTACATCACGTGTTTTAATAGGAGTGGTGGGAAATTTTATTTTTTAAGTTATTAACTTTTTAGCACATATATCCCACCATTTGTATAGTGACACGTGGTGTACTACCACGTGTACCAGTCACATTGAAAAATCTCTCGTAGGGGCATCTGCCAAAATCAAGGTCGGATTATTCCAACATGTCCCCAAGGGAACTGGATCCTCTCTGAGGCAAACCCTTGGGATCTTACTGAGTGACAAACACATGCCGTTGGATTTCGATCCAACGGCTACAATTATTATAACTTTAAGAGGGACCCTCTATTTGTAGTTGTTGGATCGAAATCAAACGGCTCATGTTTGTCGCTTAGCAGGATCCCGAAGGTTTGCCTTGGAGAGGATCCAGGTCCGTCAATTTTGCATTGAAATTCTTTTAATCAATTTTTTCATAAAAGTTGGTTTTATTTATTTTTTTTAAATTCGACTACTGTGTTTTTTAATTTATTATTTATGTTGGACCAGAGGCCGGTTCAAATTATAAAAATATTTGACCTAAATCAGTTGTTGATGCTATATTAAACTACTAACTAGGTATTACTTGAGTATTGAACGTTCCTTTGTATGTGTATAAGTAATGTTAGGGATGTCACATCCCGGCCCGGGGCGGACCACTTTCCGAGCCCGTTCCACCATCGTAGCACGATATTGTCCGCTTTGGACCCCGACCACGCCCTCACGATTTTGTTTTTGGGAACTCACACGAGAACTTCCCAGTGGGTCATCCATCATGGGATTGCTCTCGCTCGAACTCACTTAACTTCGGAGTTCCAATAGAACCCGAAGCCAGTGAGCTCCCAAAAAGCATCGTGCTAGGTAAAGATGAGAATATACATTTAAGGATCACTCCCATAGGCGATGTGGGATGTTACAATCCACCCCCCTTAGGGGTCCGACGTCTTCGTCGGCACACTCGCGGCCAAGGTTTGGCTCTGATACCAAATTGTCACATCCCGGCCCGGGGCGGACCACTTCCCGAGCCCGTTCCACCACCGTAGCACGATATTGTCCGCTTTGGGCCCCGACCACGCCCTCACGATTTTGTTTCTGGGAACTCACACGAGAACTTCCCAGTGGGTCACCCATCATGGGATTGCTCTCGCGCGAACTCGCTTAACTTCGGAATTCCGATAAAACCTGAAGCCAGTGAGCTCCCAAAAGGCCTCATGCTAGGTAGGGATGAGAATATACATTTAAGGATCACTCACCTAGACGATGTGAGATGTTACAAGGGAGATCATTTATTTAAAGCATATTTTGTAAACCACATAATGTTGATGTTGATGATTGAATTATTACTTAAGTGCTTGTTTAACGAGTTTAATTTTTGTTAGTGACATGTCGTCTAAATAGATGGTCTATTTATTTTTTATTTTTTTGTGTATAATATTCCTTCAAACAAAAAATCAAAATATAGGACATAGGGATAGGGTCGTTATTATAGTATTATTACTACTATTATTATTTTGCTAATAAAAGTAGCAAGACAGAATCCTTCTTTACGAGCCCGTGACTGGGTTTTTATTTTTATTGTTGTCGTCTTATGTTTTCTTCCTCTGAACAAGAAACTAGAAAACAAAGGGAACTACAAAAGTATATAGCGAATAAAAAGCAGAACAGCAGAGGATGAAGACGAAGACGAAGAAGTCCAAGAAAGGCACTATGCATGCATGCATGCAAGGCAAAATTCCAAAACCTCCTTCAGCTCGGGAACTGATTGATTTGAGGCACATCCTGTTTATCAAATTCCCTCAAGTAGTGAAAACTCAAGACAATGACACATGTGGCATGTGGGAGGGTGTGAAAACGAAGAAAAAGATAATCAGGGTACACTATCATTTGTATTATGTATTTATCGCCATGTGATTGCTATTCTTTTGTGAGTTGACTACTAATATTACTTAGAAAATACTGCTAATTAAGGAGAGAGAGTTTGAAGCCGAAACTTAATGAGTTAAAGAAGAAAGTCATATTTATCCGGACAATCAACAACTGTGAACATTATTGTTCTCCTTTATAAGCGATAGGAGAATTCTTTCAAAAGTGAGGTTTTCCATGAACTCTTTGCCACATCATCTTTTTGACACAGTTTTTGTGCCAATATTATAAAACTTTATGCTAAAAATATGAAATGACGGAGAGTTCATGATAAATCTCACTTTGAGAGAGTCACATTTATGGAGACAATCAACAACTTTCAACAATATTATTCTCCTTCATAAGGGATAGATTTTTGGTTTAATTAAAACCAGTAACT